CGGCCCGGCGGGCAGAGGGCGGGGGGCGGAGCCGAGCGTGCGGGGCCCGGGGCACGGCGGGAATTGTAGTCCACAGCCGCGGGGAACAGGGAAGAAAAAAACCGCACAAGTTTTTGGTTTTTTGTTTGGCGGCTTTCCAGTGAGGCACTCCGAAATTGCCTCATGATGATACCCTTGAGGCTCAGAACTTCAAGCTCCAACCCTCATTAAAAGTGTATCTAAAGCTCATAATTTAAAAATTGGAACTCACTACTGCTCAGGACTTCAAGATCCAACTCTCATTTAAAGTGTATCTAAAACAGAATTTCTTTAAATGCAACTCACTACTGCCATGGAGTCAATTCTGAATCCTACCAATCCTACTGCCAGGATAGAACTGCCCCCGAGGGATTCCAAGACTAATTTTTTGCAGGAATAGAAAGCCTCTCCCGCAGAGCAGCTGGTGATTTTGAACTGGGCACCTTGCAGTCAGCAGTCCAATGAGTAACCCACTACACCGCCAGAGCACTTCCTTTTCTTCAAACGTTACACCGTCTTCTCCCACCAATCCCATAAGCCTAGGTATGACCCTCATGGAATGTCGCGGTCTGGCCTAGCGCATCATAGTATACTCAGATTTATACTAACCTATAGATACTTTCTTTGTTAGTTTTTGAACACCATGTCCATTTATTCTAGTGGGATTTTAACTTCCATTAAAGAATAGTAGACTTCAGGATCAATCATGAGAAGTAGCCATACCAGGAGGGTAAAGGGAAGGTCGGGTAGAAAGGGGGAACTGATCACAAGGATCTATATATAACCCCCTCCCTGGGGGTCGGACAACAGGAAAGTGGGTGAAGGGAGACATTGGACAGTGTAAGACATGACAAAACAATAATTTATAAATTATCAAGGGTTCGAGAGGGAGGGGGTTGGGGAGGGAGAGGGAAAATGAGGGCTCAAGTAGAAAGATGTTATGAGAATGATGATGGCAACAAATGTACAAATGTGCTTGATACAATGGATGTGTGTATGGATCGTGATAAGAGTTGTACGAGCCCCCAATAAAATGATTTAAAAAGGAAAAAAATTAGTAGACTTAATAAAGACATTGAGAATCTTTGTTGCCTTCATTACTATTGTTTTCCCCTATACATTTATTATAATATTTTTCCTCGTGCTTATTAATGCACAACAAGGTATTCAGGATGTGTTGATTCATCAATGTTTTTTTTCCTGAAGGTTATTTGCTATAGTTTTGATCAAGAAATTACACAATTTGGGTCCACACAAGCCATAGTGGAATTTTTAGGCAGCATTATTAGCATTGGATCACACACCACCACTACCATCGAATCAATTCTGACTCATAATAACCCTCTAGGTATGCAAGGTTATAAATCATTAAAAAGGCAGATAGCCTCACATATGAGGCTTTTGGGTTTAAAAGACTGATCTTGTGTTTAACAATCCAACACTTATCTGACAATAAATTCCTTTTAACGAGTAGCACACAAAACTCAAGGTCTACTTTAAAAGATAGTTAATAAAATCAGAAATATATCCCCTTTTAAAATGTGAATCATCTCAAGCTTGATCCTTTATAAAGTGAGATTCTCTTTTCCAAGTCCTCAGCTTCAATGTAGAGACAAGATACCCATCCCTAAGATTTCAGTTGTTTCCCCAGGCGGGCTTGCTATTTAAAACTTTACTTTAAAAGACTGGATCTGAGAAAATGGAAAAAATAAATAAATAAAAGGCTGAGTTTTTAAGCACCTAATTTTAAAAAATTGCCAGTATATTTGCATTTAATTATATATACTCCATAACCAATATACTATCTTTCTTTCCCGGTCTCTGAGTGCTAATCAAGCTCTATTGTCCATGCTACTTACCAGATGTTAATAACCATGGGATCTTCTAGGTAAAAAGTCCTCAGTCTGTGCATCGGTTTCCCTTATCTCCTTTAGTTTAGGGACATTTCCAGGTCAAAGTTCCATTCCAGTCTTTATAGCAGATAGCATGAGCAAATAATCAAAGAGGCTGGATTATATGAGGAACGTGGTCGTACAATTGGAAGAAGTCTGATTAACAACCTGTAGTACGCAGATGACACAACTTTGCTGAAAGTGAGGACTTGAAGCACTTGCTGAAGGTCCAGGATTGCAGCCACCATATGGATTACAACTCAGTGTCAAGAAAACAATTATCTTCACAACTGCACCAATAACATGCTAAACAAAATAGAACTGCAGTTATCAAGGTTTCCACCTGGCTTTGGATCCACAACCAATGCTTATGGAAGCAGCAGCCAAGAGATCGAACACACTGCAGTAGGTTAGCTGCTGCACAAGACTTCTTTTAAAGTGTTGATAAGCTAGGATGTTACTTTGAGGACTAGGGTGCATCTGAGTCAAGTCAGGGTATTTTCAATCCCTCATATGCATGTGAAGCTGGACACTGAATAAGGAAGACAGAAGAATTGATACATTTGAATTATGGTGCTGGTTTAGAATATTGGGTGTACCACGGACTGCCAAAAGAACAAATAGGTCTTGTCTTGGAAAAAGTACGGCCAGAGTACTCTTTAAAGGTATTTCGTGTGCTTTGGACATGTCAGCAGGAGAGACCAGTCCCTGGAGGACATTAAGCTTGGTAATGGAGAGGAGCAGCAAAAGAGGAAGTTGCTCCTGGATGGACTGACATAGTGGCTAAAATAATACACTCAAACATAAAGAATTGTGAGGACGGTGCCAGGCAGTGCAGTGGTTTGTTCAGTTGTACATAGGGTTGCTATGGGGCTAACTGCCTCTATAGAGAGTCTAACAAAAGCAGATAGAAAGAAATCAACTCCCCTGGCCTTTTTTTTTTTTTTTTTTGTCTTTATTTGGGGATGAGGAAGGAGAGGGCTCTATGATATGAGAAAAGGGCTGGAGAACAGGCGACCTTTTATTTCGCTTCTCAAAGTACTGTCTGTCATTCTGACGGCAGGTGCACCTGATGTGTACATCCCGAGTTTGTAACAGCATCCAGGACTGCTCTGTCGAATTCCCAATGAGGAGAAAATCGGTTTTATTTTCCTTGGACAAGTAATTCGCATGGCATCTGCTCTGAGTGGGTCTGGATGCAGCACACTGTGTACAGACAGAGACAGCTTGGTGTGGTTGCCGCAGACCCAGGCCCGTCCAGGGGCAGGTTGGCAATGCCTGGAGTCCCCTGGCCTTTCATATGGTAAAACAAAACAGGAAATCAATTAACGTTTATAAAGAAATGGAAATGTTTGCAGGATTTGCTTACTGATCTGGACCAACAGCAGATCTCTTTTCTAGGCATATGATTTCTTCCATTTCTTAGGATAAAGTAACTCTTTAAAATCCCTAGGATCCCGTCAGTGCTAAGAACTCAGCAAGTGAATAGGCTAAGAAATCAAAATTGCCTGTAGAAAAGGAAAGTCCACAATTTACCACCTATCTTCTGTTGACTGTGACCCAGTCTATTGTTAAGGAGTGCGTGGGGAATGTTGTTGTTCCTGTTCTCAGCAGTTCTGTGGAAGTAGTTTAAGAGAAACCTTCCTACTCCTTTTTAGGACCAGTCTTCAGAAGCCAAGTTTGCACCAACTTAAGTTACATCTACTTTGGGAGCATGGAATTCTGATGAAGAACAGAAAGACTGCAGAATTAGAATACTACATTTTCCACAAAGCAAGCTTTAGGTCAGTGAGCAAACATCCCAATCCAATATCAAAAGCCGTGAGTGAAATTGGGAAATAAGGTGACTAACTTGTCAAAGAGGAAAAAGCAAGATAACATTCCTTGAGGGGCTGAATGCAGTATTTTGCAAGCAGCTGCACTGAAACCCACTTGTGGGTGCCCATGATAGAAGCTCAAGTTCTAGAAAGTCTCCCAGTTTGAATTTTTAAACTAATCCTCAGCAAAAATTGAAAAAGAACAAAAATCCCTACTTGTAGCTCACCTTCTAAACTAAAACCCATGTAGAATTCCACAGAATAGCTCCCAGAGAGAATATATTGTGTTGGGTGTACATGAATGCCAATTCCTTGATGGAGAGAAAACTAAAAGTCTGGGAATATTTCCAGAGGGACAAGTATATAAGAAAGCACTTACATTTTTAAGAACTTGTACAAAAACTGGGGCTAAATTAAGACTCATCCCTAAACCTTAAGTTGGGAGCGAACTTCTACTAACTTGAAATTCAGTGGTCTTCTCTCTATAGCTACTAGCACTTTTTTCAAGCCGTTCTTCCACGTTGAGGGTCGCTGAGTGGAATCCTAGAAAGCAGTTGTTCATTGATGATCCATTGAGTCAGATGTCATCACTTCAAGGGGCAATACAGTATTTAAGTGACATTTTCCCGTGAACATTGACGACTGTAAAGTCTTTCTCAGCCTTGCTTCCCCCACCGCCGGCCCAGGGAGGGCTGTGTAGGA